GAATCCAGTTTGTGGGTCTTAAGTCACCATTTTCAAGTCAGTCATAACTTCGAACGGTTGCTAAGCAACCAGTTGTAAGGCAGGGATTATTTGTATTATGCTCCGTTTGATTTTGATTCAGTTGTGTGAACCCAAATTATATGATTCATCCCATTGTTTAAGGGACTGTATTATCTGTGAACCTGCCCAATTTTATTTTAAATCCATGCCGAGTTCAGACGCAGTGCTAAGAATTGGTTTGTTATTATAGAATCCTAAGAGGCAAGAACTGAAGGGGTCTTGATGGCCATCCATGTTTCTCAGCATTACCAACTTTCACCTGCGTGGACCACCTCCCAAGATTCCTCAGCCAGCCCCACAAAAGTTGAGGAACACCAGTCTAGGAGAAGCCCTTGGCCCCAAGATGAGCCCCCAGCCTTCCCTTCAACACCCCCATCAAAGGAGAGTCCATCACCTCCTGAGATGCTGTTGAATTAGCTCCTGTAATCAGGAAATTCTTCTTCTTTGTGTCTAACCAGGATCAATTTCCAACCTGCCATTTCTTCTTCTTTTTTAACAACTCCAAATGATTTTATCCTTTCTCAGGACACTTGAAGACAATGATTGTCTTAGATTGTTTTAGCCATTGTTTATTCATTACAAGGGCTTTTTTTGCAGCTTAATTAAAAAGAGAGGTATTCAATAAATAAATTCTACATTATAGTGTGCAACTTCGCCATACCAGATAACAGATAATCAGAGTTGGATGGGACCTTGTAGGCCACTTAGTCCAATCCCCTGCCCAAGTGGGAGACCCTACACCATTTCTGACAAATGGCAGTCCAGTCTCTTCTTGAAACTCTCAAGCGATGGCGCTCCCACAACTTCCGAGGGTGACTTCTGTTCCGTTGGTTGATTGGTTGAATGCCAGCTGGGAGGAAGAGAGCTCGTTTGGCCATTAACTCATCTGCAGCCATCTGTTTCTGACCATGAAAATGACAAAATGACTCTAGTGACATCATAACTCAAGCCCCACCCTATTGTCCTTCCATGAAGACCCCATTAGGTGTAGAGGCATGGAAGGAGCTGCCCCTGTGCCAGGACCCCGTAAAAGCCCCCTCTTATCCTAGTGTGGGCCTGTTATTCCCGGGGCCCACAGGGACATAAACACTCTGGCCTTTCCCTCGAGGAGGAGCGCCAGAGGGTCTGGGGCTTCTTTGTGCCAGGCGACTCCATCCTTCCTCCTGCATGGGTAATGGGCTATTGGAGGGCGCCATAAAAAACGGAAAGAGCCAGCTTGACAGAGAGAGATTGTGAGAAAAGAAGCTGCTGTCCAGGTTGCCAGGGTAACACGGATGGCTGAGTAATCATTCTGCTAGTTGGTGTGGTAACAGGCAGTGTGGGTGAATGTGTGTGCGCGCGCATGTGCTTTCTCTCCATGCTGCCTGCCCCCCTCCCAAGCAGAATGCACAAGACACTTGGAGAGGGACCAACCCCCATAGAACAACATTCAAGCGTTTCTGAAAATCTCAGCTGGGCAGAAGATTGAAATGACAATGTCATTGCTGAGCTGAGATTTTAATTGCAAGTCATTCATACAAACCTGAGAAACGCTGGCAGCCCTTGGTAGGTGCAGACTGCCCACCGGTCCTGGGAAACAGTGGAGCTGCCTCGAGATGCTTTGGGGCTCAAGGCCGATGAGGCCAAGATGCCTCTCCAAGCAATGGCCAAGCCAAGTCTAGTGATGTGAATCCAAACCAAGGAGTCAGCTTGGGGTTCACTGCATCATGCCAAGCCAGCCAGAGTTGGGTAACCAGATTTTGCCCGTCAATCCAGAGCAGGAAGACTGATCGCTTGTGGGTCAAATCTCCATATTTGGTGTGAGGGACATATAACCTGCAAATCCAATGCTTTGGCTGACAGTGTAGCCCCTCTGAAAATCACCTGGGCTTTCCCCCTCCTCCCCCCTCCCCCTCCCAATCTGTGTCACTCTCAGAATGTGTGGCTATTGCAAAGCCTGGAAGGAAACGCCAGACTCTGATGGGTCTGTGATGAAAGAGGAGCAGCAGCAGGAGTGAACTGGGCCCCCTCCCCAGAGGGCCCCTCCTTGGTCTGGGCAGCCCACGACACCGAAGGGCTGGGCTTCTGTGAAGGGCTTGTTGGAAGAGCCATCCATCTGGTTCAGTTCCATGTGGGGAGAAAGATGGCTTAATGGAGCAGAACCATCCAGCACATGGTCCTGGTGTAGTGACCACATGGAGTTAAGAGAGGGGGGGGTTATTTATACTTCCTCTTGGGCCTTGCCCTTGAGCTTCCTGTTCCTGTGCAAGAAATGTATTCTATTGGCTATAGTCAGACTCCCATGGGGCCATGTTTGTCTGAATCAAGTTTGGTTGAACCTTGGGCTGATGCCCAATGTCCTTAGGAAATTTTGAAATGCAGTTGAGCCCTGCTGCTAGATGGTAGAGGGCTAATCCTATTATGTCCCGGGGGGGGGGGTCATGTCTTTATCCCCTCATCCTGGAGCTGAAGGTCTTTTGTCTTGTAGATAGGCTGGCCCAGTCTTTCTTAATGGGCACCCAAATATCTGCTGGGAGCTGGGTTTCTGTTTCCTTTAAAAAAAAAATTATTTCTCTTTTAGGGGAAATATTTTATCCTGCCTTTCTAAATATTTCCTAAACTATTTCCTCCTTCCAGGAGAGGGGTGGGTGCTAACTTTCTACAGGTTCATTTCTAAGGTCCCAGTTCTTCCCTCCCACATTTCCCATTTTTTTCATTAGTTGCCCTTCCGAAACTGAGTAGGCTGCCCCCACCCTTTCCTACCCTAGTTTCTGTGGATCTGCTCTAGGACTTCGTCTCCATGCCAGTCACCTTGATTCCACGGTAGCTTTGTCATCTCTGTGTGGGCATTTATGCCCCCTTGGGGAAGGGTGGGGGAGGGGCGGGTGGAGCTTTCATCAAGGTGGGCCTATTTGGGGCTGAAATGCCCCCAGGGTAACTAACTGGATCACCTTCATGGGTTTTATATTCCACAATATAATTCCTCCATGAAAGAGTTAAAGATTGTTTTTCAACTAGGGCCAAAGGCTTGAACAAATTCTTAACTGGGTTACTGTATAAGCCCTTTTCAGGAGATCGCACAAAAATTAAACCAAGCTTTAAAAAAAATCTTAATGAGGGTTTTCTTAGTGTTGTCAGTAGTTGCTAGGATTATGACTGGCTAAGCATGTTTCAGGCCACAGCTGGAGAAAAGGGGCAGATCCTTGAGAGTCCTTGGTACTCTCCCAGTTTGGTTATTTTTTGCAGATGTTTCATTACTCAGATAACATCAGTGTTAGATGTTACCTAGTTTGGGTAATGAAACACATGCAAGAAAACAACCAACCAGGACCCCTCATGTCAACCTTGAGCTACAAATATTCTCCTTTATTCAAACAGATATTTTTCCTTTATGGATGGAAACACTGGGCTGAACAGGCATGCTTTACTTGTTAAACTGCGTTTTAATTCCCAACTATTTTCATCTGAAACAGACTGCTCTCCATTTCTTTGACCCCAATTCTTCTATTTTTGCAATACACACCCATTTCTCAAACTTTAGAGTGCTTTTCTTTTTAAAATTAAAAAAAATAATCCTTGCAATGCTCAATTTTCTCCACCAGATGCCGCCCAAACTCCTTTCCACTTTTGCAGCCTCTTTTTTTTCTGCATATTCTTGCTAAGAAGGTCCATCACCATCTGGGCACAAATTTCACACTTGTGGTGAAATGAAATGACCCCCTTTCTATGCACCACTTTACTTTCCACTTTTGATCATTACTGTATAGCAAACTGTGGATGTTTTGGATTCTTGGAGTGCCAATTTTGGTGGGAAGAGTCATTAGGTGGATGGAATGTGGAGGATAAGAATGAATGCCTACATATTATACCGAGCAATGCTTGAACCCTGGTTTGTAGCCTGAGTTCATCAATTATCTTTCTTAAGCCAAGAATAAACTGAGCCACGCTATTAATGCTTGATGCCTGCAATCCTTTTGCCAGCACAGTTGCCCCTCAAACAGGCGGGCACTCTTGGCTGGCAACTCCACTTTGCTTCTCCATTTGGGATCCAGGCAGATGAAGGCCAGGCAAGATCAAAGGCTGGTGTCCCCATTGCCAGGAGGCTGAACGGGGGACATCTGGGAGAAAGGCAGGGGGAGGGCTTGCATGGGAGGATGGGTGAGCGGTTTGGCAACTGGGAAGGGAGGCAGGAGAGGGGGCAACAGCTTAAACCACTGGGTGGTTCTTGGTCTATGGAGGGGGGCTCCTAACCTGTGTGTGTGTGGGGGGGGGAAATGGGGGGGGGGGTTATACACGGTTTTTCGTCATAAAGTGCTTGATTTGATTGAAGGTGTCACATGTGAAGCCTGCCAACTGCAGTTGTAAACCAGGTCTCCAAACTTGGCCACTTGAAGACTTGTGCACGTCAACTCCCAGAATTCTCCAGCCAGCTTTGCTGAAGTCCACAAGCCTTAAAGTGGCCAAGTTGGGGCGGCTGTTGTAAAGCAAAGGCTCGAGCCGAGGCGTCTCGTCCCCACCTGAATGAAGCGGCGTTGTGACCTCCTGAGGCAAAGCCCTCCTTCCCTTCGCTGCTCGCCTCCCGGCCTGCGAACGAAGCGCCTGCGGCTAACATGCGCCCTCCCGCCCCGCTTCCCCCCCCCCTCGCCGCTTCTTCGGGCGGAATGCGGGCCTCCCCGGTGCAGCAGCAGCCGCGCTTCCTCCGCCTTCGGCCCGGCCTCTGCCTGCCGCCCGCCGCCCGCCGCGCTCTGCCTGGCTCTCCACCGCGACACCTCCGCTCCTCCTCTGCCGCCGCCGCCGCCGCCGGCCTCGCGGGGCTGGGCGCAGTCTGCCCCGCAGTTCCCCAGCCGGCCGCCGGGCGTCCCCGCCGCTTGGCGGGTCGGGGGGCGGGCCGGGCGAGGCGAGCAGCCAAGCGGGGCCGGCCGGGGCCTTCCTGACAGCGGCGGGTGGAGCCACACAGCCGGTCGTGGAGCCGGCGGGGAAGCGCCGACGCCGCGTTGGGCTCCAGTGGCTGACCCGAGCGCCGGGCCGTTTCCTCTGCCCGTCTTCCGGGAAGCTCCGTCCGCGGGCTCCGGGCTGGGCATCGGCCGCGGGCCGGCCCGTCCGTCCGGGAAGCGCCATGGCCGGCTACGTGCCGGGCCAGCTGCCGCTCAACCGCAGCCAGGAGAAGGAGTTCGTGCAGGCCTACGAGGACGTGCTGGAGCGCTACAAAGGTGAGGCGGGCGGCGGCGGCGGCGCGATCTCCCGCGTGGCCGGGCGGGCGGCGGCGGCGGCGGCCGGGGAGCCAGCGGGGCGGCCCCGCCTTCTCGGGCCGGCCGGCCGGGCTGTCATGGCTGCGGGCAGCGGGAGCAACGGGAGGAGCCCAGCCGCCGTTCCTCTCGGACCGAAGCCTCGCTCCGACGGCCGGGACGGTCCGCACAGCGCTGCCCGGCCGCTTCCGCCGGATCGCGGGCAGCCGCTTGGCGGGACGGTCCCGGCATCCTTGGCCTCGGGCTCTGGGCCGCCGCTGCTCCCTGCCGGGGGGAGGCCGGGCAGGGGCTCTCGGCGGCGGCCCTCCTTTGTTCCGAGGCCGGCGGGCGGAGGGAGCTGCGGCTGCCCGTCTGACCCCGACTCGCTCCGCCGCCCGCCCCCTTTTCCGCGACGGGCCGGGCCGGGGGAAGCGCCGCAGTGGGGCCCGGGGCGGCGGGGGCTGGGACTCGCCTGGCGCTGCGTGAGCCGTTTTGCCCGGCCGAGGGAAGCCGCCTCGGGGACTCCCGGCTCTGCCTTGCCCCGCTGCCCCCCCTCCCGCTCCGAGCGGGTCTTGGGTGGGCGGCGACGTTGGGCGCGAGCGGCGTTGGGCGCTGCAGTCCAGGCGCCGGAGTCGCCCTGGGACCGGGGGGGAGTTGGCCGCGGCGCCGGTTTTGGCCGGGTGGCCGGAGGCGCCGGTAGAGACGGTGCGGGGGTAACGGCGGAGCCGCATTGCCAGCTCCAGTGAGTGGGATGTGCGGAAGGGCCGGGAAGCCGCCTAGATCCGGGGCTCGGACCGCGCCATCCGGACATGAGAAACGCAGCGGAGTTCTTTGGTAGGGACGGCCGGGCTGGGGAGTCCGGTGCTTTCTGGGCCGCGTGAAAGCGAGCCGGCTCCCAGCCTTGGCGTTCTGCCTGTTCCAGGCGCTCCTGCGGCTTCCTTCCAAGGCGCTTTCAAGAGCAAACTCCGGTGCAAGCCGCCCCCGCCCCCAGCTCCGCCAGCTGCCCAAACTGGAAGTGGCTGCCGCAACATTGGATGAGAAAGAAAACGATTTCTGGCCTTGGTTACCAAACGTTACTAACTTGCAACTTCACTCAGGGTGGCAAGCAAGCTTCTTGGCTGCGTCTCTGCAGCTTCTGGTGCTCTTGAGGCGCCTCTGGGATGGAGTTTGCTTGGCCGGGAGGCTGGGTTTGTCCCGTGGAAGGGGTCCCCCCCCCCCCTGGCCCTCTCCAAGGGCAGGCCTGGAATGGAAGCCTCTCCCGACAATGACTGCCCTCCCAAGGGGATGTTTTATTTATTTCTTCGATTTTGTCCAGGGGCATCTACTCTTCCGTCTTCCTCCTGAGGTGGAAAAACGTGTGAAGTGGGATGGGCTGAGCCAGGCTGCCTTTCTGGCATGCAGGGAGGGAGGAGCGGGAGCTGCCTCTCCGATTGCCCTGACAGGGTTTTCTCCCGCAACTCTGCCACCCAATCCTAGTTTTTGTGGTCCTGGGAGCAAAAGTCTGGCTTCGTCTGCCGTAAAGCACTATGAGTTTTAAAGAATACTTACAAACATAGAGGGTTGCACATTTCTTTTCTAACACCATAGTTTATATTTTTCTTTTTATTATCAACCAGTATCTCTGGGTTCCAGGCCTAAGAAATCCTCTAACTTCTGGGGCCGTAGCTATGTGGGGCCACATCTTCCGTCAGTCTCGGCATTGGCCCTGGCCTTGAGGTCTGTAGCCTAGCCCATCTGGAGGATAGGTGCCTCCCCCTCCCCATTCCATGGTTAGTATTGGTGTACTTTTAAATACCAGAATCTGGGAACAGACCTCAAGTTCACTCTATTTGTATCGGGGTGCTATAGTGGATGACTAGCACCCCTCGCACATATGGGACCAAGCAGCTGCATGATGGATTTTAGAGAGGCTACCCGCCTCTCACTTCAGGCCAAGTTAGGCAAAACAATTTTGCAAATGCTTTTGTGTTTGACTGAGACTTGCCTGTGACTTAGAGGTTAGAGAAGGAAGTGGATGGCAGACGTATTCCAGACAGAACAAACTTCTATTTATTACTGGCAGCGTAGGAACATTTTATAAGCAAACCTGTTTTTGTGGTAACTTAACCAAGTACACTTCTCTTCACTTTACAGGATATTCTAGAGCAAAGGTGGAATAGAATCATACTAAGAGATGAAAACAGGGAGGTGGGAGAATAAAAAATAATGGTAAGCTGCTTAGAGTAGCCCCATGGCAAGATAGGTGGCCAATAAATTTAACAAATTGTCCTAATAAGAGTTACAGCTTCAGCCTTCACTTGGCTTTGCCTGGCAGACCTTGTAAACAAGTTTATTCTCTGCTGGGCTGAGTCCCTTGTCAGCTGCATTGCATGGATTGGTTTTCATTAGCTACTCGCAGGTCCTGAAAGCCAGGCCAGCCTTTCTTGGACGGGCCCTGCATTTGGGCCTCCGCTGCTCTGCCTGCCTTTCTCCCCTTCGCAGCTTTCATGGAAGCAGCCAAGGCGGAAGGAGCCTCCCGGTGCATCTGAGCCAGCGGCATTTTTTACAATGCTTAGGCATTTTGTCAACCAAGAGACAAGCTTCAGCAGGTATAGCAGCCAAGAGACATTTCTGCTCTGTTGGGTGGAGGGCTGGTCCCCTCCTCGGAATGCCACCCAACGTCCCTGCAGAGGGTTTTTTAATTGCACGGCTCCCTCTCTCCTTGACCTGGCTTGACCCCCAACTAACCCTTTGGAGCGTTTCTATGGCTGGCTTTCCGGGCATCTGTTATGAAGGCAGGGAAAGGAAAGAGAAGGCTTTGCTGATCCCAGCTGATGCTCTGATTGACACATCAAGTACTTAGGGCGCTTTCGGCCTAACTCCCTTGGGGAAAACACTTGGCCCCCAAAGGGCACCAGGGAAGGTACTGGAAGAATCTTTTTCAAGGGGGAAGATCTGCTGCTGTGCCCCCCCCCCATGCGCCTCTCCAGGAGGTCATAGACCACCGTTTCCTGCCCCCAGTAGCAGTGCCCCAAAGATCAAGCAGCACCGGCACCTGGAGGAGGTGCAGCATCTCTCTTGAGCCTCTTCCAGGGGGAATGTGTGCATGCAGGTGCTGCTACTGTGTGTGTGTTGGGGGGGGGTGGGGAGAGCTAGTCAGGCAGAGTTTCTGGAGAACTGTGAAGTTTTGTCCAGCTTTCTGCTGATAGAAGGAAAGTCCGTTGCGGCCATGTTCTCCATTGCATCAGTTGAGCCTGTCCGAAATCAGATAAAAGCCAATCCGGATGGTTTAAGTAGCGCCCCGTTTGACAGACGGATGAGCTGCCAAAGGGAAGGTTCTCGGAGTGAAGGACCAGATGGAGGACTGTTCTCCCTCCTGAACCAGCTTACAGGGCCAGGCAGTCCTTTTGTAGGGTTAGCCCAAAAGCCACCTAAGCTGTTCAGGTGGGTTGTTGCACAAAAGCCGCCGAGGTCCTCTTTGTCCACCCGAAGGACTGAGCCACTGACCCCCCCCCCCCCGTGGAAATGGATGGCAAATGTCTCTGTGTCTCATCTGTGCTGCCTCAGAAGCTCGCTTTGGTGACGACGGCTGCAGTGGTCACGTGGCCTGGGCTGGTGGCCCTTTGCAGCAGAAAGGGGTCCAATGCAGCATTGTGGAAGAGGGTCTCCTAGCCTCATTTGAGGGGAGAGGGACGAGCTCCAGGGGTGCTGGGCAGCCGGGCCGGGTCCCAAGAAAAGTATCCAGAATTTGCTCAGCTCCCCGCTTTTGCCTTCTGCATTTACCCGCAAAGGGAAGCGCACACCTGTGACTGTCATGGAAGCACAAGGTTGGTGTGTGCTGAACACTTGGGAGCTTGGCTTCGCTTTGGCTGAAGGCGGCCTATTCTCCTCCTGCTTTCCTGGGGAGGCAGAGCCTCTTTGGCCTTTCCAGACTGGTGGGGCTGCTGAAGCAGGAAGAGACCCTTCCTCCTGTCTCCGAGCCCAGCGGGGGCCTTGAAAGTCCTGGCTCCTGGGCAGGTGGTGAACTGGGCTTGTTCTTTTAGCTGAGAAACAGTGTCCCGGATGCTTATGGCCTGCAGGTTCTCAGTCATGCTGGACATGCCTTGTCCTGGCCCAGTTTGGCAGGTGGTCTCTTGAGAAAGAGCAAGTGAGCAGCAAGATAGTGAAAGCCCACCGGCTGCAGCCGGGATTCCCCACCCAAAGGGAGTCTGTGGTTCAGCCTGTTACACTGGCTGGTCTCCCACCTGCGGGATGCTCGGCCTCCGAGAATTTCCTTGTGACTCGGGTTCATACAAGCAGCAATCACAACAGCCAGGACAGGAAGGAGAGCAGAAAACTAGACCTGGGTCATTCCTCCTGGAAGCTCCTAATTCTAGTTCATGGTTTGTTTTGGCTGAGCTTGCTGTGTGAATCCAGCTCTTGTGATTTTGATCTATCAAGCCATATGAACCAGACCACTGCAGTACCTGTGCAGGAGACCATGTTTTTAGTGGAATGTGAGAATTCAGTCACTGGCGACCAGGAAAGGAAAAGGTGGGGAAATGTAAGGGGTTCCTTGTTGCACTAATTGTAAAGTGGGACTTTTTTGGACTAATCAGAACAATTGGGTAAAATAGTTTTTATTGCTCTCTGTCTCTCTCTGCAAGATCACCACACTGAACGGTTTCCCCACTATTTGCGGTGAGAATGTTGCTTTAGCTCAATGAGTATTGTGAGGAGGAGGGCTGGTTGCCCAGGAACCTCTTGTTGGAAGCAGCCAAGTTCCTGTGACCCACTTTTGTCTAAAATAGGGATTGGAGGACATTGTTGGAGGATATTTTTGACATACGGTGGAGGAAACGGCCATTCCAGCCTCTCCTCCTTGCTGGGACCCGCCCTGCCTCTCCTTGCTGGGTTCTAGTTGCCTTTCCAGTTGAATGACCTTCGTCTGGGAGGAAGGAATTCTGGCTTGGGTTTCGGGGAGGGATTGTTAAGGATACTCGCAACCCCCCTCCCCATTGGATTTG